TTCAAAGACTACAAAATAACCTAGCACGCGTCGTCATTGCCCACACTCATCCCCGCCTCGACTCACTAGCTCGTCTCTGCGCTCTCAACTGGCTCCCCATTGCCAGTAGGGTCACATACAAGACCGCCTGCCTCTGCCACAATGCCTTCATATCTGCCTGCCCGCCGTATATTTCTTCATTATTGACAACCTGCAGCTCAGCACATGGCAGATGCCTGCGCAGCGCGACTCACGACCTCCTCTCGATACCAAGATCCAGGATGGTCATGTCTACGCGCCGCTTCTCGGTGGCAGCCCCAACAGTCTGGAACGATATCCCTCTGCACATTCGCAGCATCACCTCAATCGCCTCCTTCAAGAGACACTTTAAAACTCACCTCTACAATCATGCTTTTGAGCGACCCTGAGCTTGGCTCCGCGCCTCTGAGTTGCGACCACTACGTCTGCAAATTTGCGCGCGTTACAAATTGTACAATTATTATTATTAGCCGACGAAAATCAACACAAAACCGCAAGGAGCCGTCGTGTTTTTTTAACTAACACGATGGGTGCACCCCAAGGGCTGGTAGAAGGGGATATAATATCCGCAGCTAGCATGTCGTCTACGGCCGATTTGACATGATCCTTTTCGGCGGGACTCAACCGAAAAGGATTTTGGCGGATTGGCACGCTGTCACCTGTGTCAATATGGTATCGCAGCAGTTTAGTACAGCCAATATCATATTTGTGTCGACTAAAAACATCGGAAAAAATCGCGCAGAAGGGTTCGTAGCTTATCATGCTGCGAGTCAGACAAGTCCGATGATTCCGCGCAAAGCGCATCCAGCCACCCCTCATCACGGTCCGAATGTGGTTGTGACGGAGGAGCGGTGCTCACTTGTCCAATGACCGGTTCCTCACAGAGTACCGGCGTTGCGTGCGCAAGCACGGTCCCTTGAGGAACCACAGCCGTTCGCAACCCGACATTGAGGACCGCGATGAAGGGGTCCCCGTCCCCTTTCACAATGGTCTGGGCCGCTATCAAATCAGGTCCATTGACCCCGGCCCTAGATGGTCCCAACAGAACACCCCGATCCCCAATCCCCTTAGCGAATGGTCGACGCAGCCTAAGAGGCACGAGCATCTGAGCCCCCGGCGGTATGTGTACCGTCCTCGTAACAGGCGCTTGTACCGTCGCAAATGCCGTATGGACAGTAGCGGGGGAGGACAAGAACATCATACGTCGGCCTGACGGGAGTTCGATGCAACCTTGGTCAATCAAGATTCGAATTGGCATTTTGGCCAAGAAGTCCGTGCCCAACAGGCACAGAACTGCCAGCGAGGAGGAGACCAATACCGGCCCGGATAATTTGATGTCCCCAATAAAAATTTGCACGCGGATCTGTCTGATAATGCCCAGCGAGCCCCCATTGGCAGCATAGCACGGAACATCAAGGGGGAGCAAAGGACGGCTTTGAACGGGGAGAATGTTATAAATTAAATCGGACACAATTGTCGCCGATGCTCCCGTATCAACTAAGACCCGCACCTCAACCCCATCAATATGCCCCACAACGACCGACAACCCCGCCGACGCGGCAACAATGCGGTGGGCCAACTCAGACCACTGGCCCAGTTGGAACGCCCTCCCCATCGCGGCACATTTCGACGCAACGACAGCCGATTTCTGACCCCCGTTCATTGCAATGCATGAGTGTGTCACAGGTGTGTGCGTAGGCCAAACATGTGGGGTGCCACGACTTGCCGGAGTTTGCTGCGGAGCCTTGGGTAGAGGCGCGTCGTCCGGCCGAGGCGTCGCACCACGCTGTCGAGGAGCCCGGCATCCCGAAGCCACATGGCCCCGGACGCCACAGTTGTAGCACCGCGTGGGTGCCCTAGACGGCTTGGGTTGATCCTGGTGGCTCGGCCCGTCCCGAGCTGGCTGTCCCCCGGATCTCCACTCCGTCGGGCGACCCACAGCGCAGACCTCTTCCGATGGGAGGGTGGTGGCAGCCACGGTATGTCTGGCTGCCGCCTTGCTGGCCTTGCGATGCTGGGACAGCAAGTTTGCGTGGATGTACCGTGCGGCCCGCAGGGAACACATCTCCTTGTCATCTTGCGCCAAGACGACGATGTCCAAATCGTCCGCCAACAGCAATATCTTCTCAACCACTATAGCGTCCACCCCTTCCTCGTCCATCCGCGGGAAAGCCGTCTTCGCCAGGGCCAGGAGAGCCGTGCGGTATGCCAGGGGCGATTCCTTGGCGCCCCGCTGACGATCGTAAAACAGCTGTCTGCAGTCAGAAGGTGGACCGTAGACTGCAGACAGGAGTCGAAGAGCCACCTGCAGCGTGGCGCGCGCCAATCTTGGAGCCGTAGTGAGGGTGGCAAGGGTATCACTGTCCAGCGTCGCCGGCAGCGCGTGTAGGGCCTCGTCGTCCGTCCATCACGACATTTCTTGGTGGGCGAGGAAACGTCTTTGGAAGGCTCCCCAGTCGCCGTCTTCTGCCACAAACTCTTTGAGGACCGGCAATCGCTGCTGGAACGAGGCCTCCACTGCCATAGATCGCCAACCGTCGTTCCCGCCAATCTGTACAGTATCGGCGGGAATGGCGGACGCCATCAGCGGTCGCACCGCTGCTGACGCGCTGGCCACTGATTGGCGTTCGCCGACGTCGGCCGCTGTTGATGACGTGGCGGGTTCTGGTCGGCGACTGTCGGTCACCTGACGTGGCCCGGCCCTGCCCTCAGCACCCACTGTACTGATGGCGGCAAATTCAACCTCCAGCCCCGTTGAAATGGCGGGAACTGGCGTCGCATGTCGTCCGACGTCGCCCCGTGCTGCTCCTCCAAACCCCAGGCGAGTGATTTCCTCCAGCGTGGCGGCTGCCGCGTAGAGTAGCTCCGCCAGGTGGGAGTGAGCCACCCGCAGCCCATCAGCCAACGGTCCCCACCCGTCCGGCTGCTGCGGTATCGGCGGACTCGGCCCCGGTTGCTCGAACTCGCCCTCGGCGAGTTCAGGCTCTGAGTCGGCCGAGTTGTCCTCCTCCCCAGGTTCCTTGGTACGAGCCGTCCGTCTTGTGTCCATCTTTAGAAGACCACTTCTGACTCCAGTTGTAGTATGTTCAAAGAGACTTGGACGACGTAGTCGAATGCACACTTATTTATTAACCGTTCCACTCTATACAGGCCAAGGTATACAACACTCCAAGGGGTATCGGCCCCTTCACCCGTCTAACAGGGAGATCCCACGATCTTTATCCTGACTAGCCTACTCCCGGGTCCTCCACTACAGAGCTAGGGGAGGCTAGCTGATCCAGCTCTGGCCAAGCTGGGATCACGGCACCCTGAGTCACCAGACTGGCTCTTATAAGAACATCGGCTCTGGGCTCTCGGGGCCACACCACTGGCTTGCCCTGGTCGGTCCTTAGAAGGACGGCGATCCAGGGGAGTCCCAGGGCCTATCAAACTGGTCTTCCTTCTTCACTGGTTTAAGCTAAACACTGAACCCGGAGCCCACCGGCTCACCGCCTTATATAGCAACTCCCCCCCCCCCCCCCGAGGGGTGGGGCTGTGGGGGATCACAGCGCCGTTTCAGCCCCCCAGGCTGAACGGTGCGGGCATAACCACCCCTGGTGTGTTTGTTCGCCCTCCAGTAACACCTCTACATATGCACAGTGATACACATGGTCAGCCACAGTGATAGCCCAGTCTGGCTCTGTGAGCCTCGGGTATTAACCTTGAACCCCAATAATCCTTACTGTGCCTTAGTAGGGTTATAGCAGCCTCAAACATTATGAATGAATAATGCGTATCTGTAGGCTGCCTTAGTATGGTTATGAGCCTACAGCATTAACAATGAACCCTACGCATCACAATGGTGATGTGGTCTTTCTCGAGTCTGATGATGACATCCATTACAGGGAAGACTTATCGTCATATATTCATCTGCTACAATGGTTGCTTTGGCCAACAGCATCCTCACTGGATAATACACACGTGTAATATCAATGGAGCTCATATAATAGGGAAACACTCGTGTGTGTGCTATATATTATTGTCCAATGAATACATTGCAGTTGTAATGTTTATCTTTGCACGTGCAGTGCGGTGATAGGCAATATTAACCAAGGTTATGCCTTAGTCTGGCTCTGTGAGCCTCAGCCATTAACTGGGGATTCTAAGAATTCTAAAAGTGCCTTAGTTTGACTCTCTGTGCATCAAACTGTTAACATGAAGCCGACGACTCCTACGTCTTAGTCTGGATGTATGATCCTTGGGTATTAACAATCAACAATAAGATTCCTAAACGTACCTTGATCCTGTTCTAAAATCTATAGTATTTATCATTGAACCATACAAATCCTACAGGCAGCCTTTGTGTCTGCAGTGGTGATGTTTACAAGACGTCCTAGGTACTCATTAAGGCGGAGTGGACCTAGGAAAGCTCCAAAATTGGTTCTGAATCCACTCTCCACTGATATTAGCCATGAATAGCCTGTTGGTGACGATGTTTGTAGCTCAGTGCACAATACATCCCATCTTCACTGGACATCCGCACTCACTCTCGCTCATCCATACACCCATACACCTCCGATTTGCACGGTTGGTGTGAAAGAAGTTCAAAATAGATCAATACACTTTTACAAAGACAAAGATGCCCCCGTATATCCTCAACAAACTTTTGGGGCAAGTGCTGTTAGCAAGCACCTATGAAGGCCTGCACGGCACACCAGGGGGGAGTGGCCACCACCACGTCAGGCCGCCTTTGTCTCCCCAATGGTGATGTTTACACACCGCATCAGGTACTCAATTGAGGCCGAGTCGACATAGGGGAGGCCCAGGACCGGTTCAGATAATCCATCACTGGTGTTGGCCTTAAGCAGGAATCACACTCGGGACGCCAGGTTCATAGCTCAGTGCGCTAACCACTACACTACCGCTCCACAACATACTTGTACAAGCACAATTACACACACAATAATACACACGCACAGGTAGTAAGAGTCCGTGGAACTCACACATGAATGCCAACAGGTTGACCACAGCTCCCTGCAGGGTGCTGATAGAGGCGATATCGTTTTTGCTGGGAGATGAGGGTGGAGATCCCTTCTGAGCCTCTCTCCTGTAAGATCAGAACCAGCAGTGACTCATACAGCCCGTGTCTTACACAGCATCATCACACACAGCATCAACTCTCACAGCATCATCATCACACGCAGCTCATCATCACACACAGCTTCATCACTCACAATCATCACACATAGCATCATCATATGCAGCATCACACACAGCGAGTGTCTTACGAAGCATCACACACAACATCATCATCACACAGCATCATCACAGCCAGTGCCTTACACAGCATCATTACACACAGGGATATTACACTCATCATCATCACGCAGCCCATGTCCCACACAATGCGTCACCCCGTGTGTTAATCTGTGCGAGTTCATGTGTCCATACCGGTTTGTCTCCTTAAGGTGCACCTGCAGGAGTCAGACATAGGGCAGGGGGCGCGAGTCAGTTCACCTCCAGCCACATTAACCACACGGTGATTGGTAGACGCGATGAGCTGAGCTGCATTCAACCATTCACTTATCCCAGTGTTGTTGGTTGTAATCAAAACAAAGCCGTGAACTCATTTGGACTCGATGGTTCTCATAAGCAAGGTGTGGCCTCTCAAACCCTTGCAACGGGCAATAGGCATACGTGGCACTCGACATCGAGTGGCAGTGATTTGAACCAACATTGGAAATAATTATCCACTGCGAGGGTGACTTACACCCAGAGCATCGTGTTACCTTTGTCAGAAGTTTAGAATTTTTGGGACAATTTTCAGGCCCAAAAACCTCAGAGAAGCCCACCTTTGATACGATTTTGTGCCCAAAAGTCGGTAATGTACATACATAACGTCCGTGCATTACGTGTCTTGATTAACTGCGAATAACCCAACTAATAATAGAGATCCATTGTCATTTATATGCATACATTAACTCACCTCTCCCACTCTGGGATTAGCACCTGATTGGTTCACAGTGATGACATCACATTTATTCCTCTAAGACAAAAACAGGAGAATTTCTCCAAAAATCTGATGGTCACTTGATGAGGCCGGTTGTAATTACTGGCAAAACGTTGTACTCCAATTGTAAATGTTATTTGTTTACTCTCCAAAACAACGGTGTGCTGAACTAGTAACTTATTGGCATTTTATATTTACGTGACAAATCTAATTGGTTGTCTTCTTGGTTCTTTCGGTAAAGTGACGTAGAAGGGAAGCTGAGTTTACATATCAACAGAGGGATTGAGCATATTGACGCTAAAGAACTGCAACTACCCTACTTCCATACAATTGTAGTAAGTATCGGAGGAGACGATGTCGAAGTTGAGACACACTGTTTATTAACTCCGGGACAGATACAATAGTTGAAGGGGTATCGGCCCCTTCACCCGTACTATGGGAAACCCACCCTAGTACTAAGCCCTCTGTCCTGTCCCCCAGTCCTCCTCTACTGGGCTACGGGAGGCTGACTGATCTGGCCCTGGCAAGCACAGATCTCGGCACCAGCTAACCAGCCTTGCCCTGACAAGGGCAGCGGTCTGGAAGCTCCTGGGCCGCGCCACTGGCTTACCCGGCTCGGCCCTTATAAGGACGGCGAGACCGGGGAGTCCCAGGGCCTAATCTCCGAGTCTTGGATCTTCACTGGTCAGCTTCGTGTCGAACTGAACTCGAGCTCTTTGAGTTCCACCTTTTATAGGGATCGCCTCCGAGGGCTGGGGCGTGGGCAATAACTGATGCGGACGTCGGTGTGACCACCCGTGTATGTGAGTGCCGACAACCCTGTGTTTGTTGTCCGCCGTTTCTCCCGTAATAACCCCTACATCACCCCCCCCTGTACAGCTCGCAGCCGTCCCGGCTGCAACAATCCCTCAACCCCCAAGAATAAAGATTAACACCGTCAATACACGTGTGCCTCGTAACAGTAACAATAACAAGAACAAGCGTAACATCAACCGATGGTTCCCTATATAACAAAAAAAACCCCCACGCAGAACCGCAATACATATACAGAACGGTATAACAGCACATGCAATCAGCATATCGCGATCACACGCGTACATTGAAGCACAATAGCAAGCAAATCTGCAGGCGACCAACACACCCTCAATCCCGTCGCAACTTTGCAACCACAACACAATTATTCTCTCTCATGCAACGACCGCATCGCACACCGCACCTCGCAGCACAATACAGCCCCAAAAAAAAACATTTTTTTTCTCTTCTCTTTTTTTTTTGTCAATTAAGCCCCTCGCGCACGGTAACCCACGAGATGGTACAGCACAGGGTACCCGACGCTCACACGTTAATAATTAACTATAGCATCAAGATAACAACTCCACGCAGCAGCGCACACACTCCCTTTGAAACTCAGCAACCACAGCAGACTTTCCGTCCATTCCCAACACACGCACACACTTACATGGACAGCAAGCAACAAGCAGATAGCGTGGTCATCGTTATTACACACACATACAACAAAAAAACATATATACAATGAGCGGGTTCCGCAGCAACGGAACACGCGCGGAAAGCTAATCATAACAACCGGCGCGTCTTGGCGCGAGTCCGTGCAGCGGGCCCGTCACAAGGGGCCGGCTTGGTAGAGTCGGTGGCAGGTGTCGCATCAGCAGGTGCCTGGTCGTCCGGTTTCCCGGACGTGCCAGCGCCGCCCCCCACGGGGGAGGCTGGCAGCCAAGAGGGCTTCAGTCCTGGGGCTCCTGAAGACGGGACAGTCATTAGTGGATCAGAGGCTGGCATCGATCCCGCCCCCCCTGAGTCAGAGGACTCCCCACATGTTCGGCCATTTACGTGGGAGGAAGCGTGTGGAGCAAAAAATGGCTTTAACCGTGAAGGGTGTACAAACCACCGACGCTTCCCCCACTTAATGCGCACACATTGAGGCCGTACAACCTGCACAATTTCAACGGGGCCCCTCCATGGTCGCAACAACTTAGCCGAGGTGGCCAATGGCACCTGGGGGCAGTGCAACCATGCTCGGTCGCCCGGGTGCCATTCGTGCGTGTGAGTCCGGCGCGACCGCAACCTCTCGTTTTGTTTCTGGCGGGAGTCAGAGTTTTGCATGGCCGCCTGCCGTGCCTCCGCCAAGCGAAGGATGTTGAATTTAACATGGTCGGCGATTTTTGACTTAGCATGAGGCGCGGCAATCGCCAGCTGAGTCGCGACAGGCGGGTCAACCTCGCGACCATACATCAAAAAAAATGGCGAGAAACCGGTCGCCGCGTGAGGAGCCATCCTGTATGCCGCCAGGACTCCCCCGATCCGTAGATCCCAATCGTTTTGGGACTCAGATACCTGGTGGGATAGCATGGACGTAAGAGTCCTATGCAAGCGTTCCACCATCCCATCCGTCTGTGGATGGTAAGGCGAGGTACGAACTTTCTTTGTACCCAGAAGGCCACATACCTCGTGTAAAAGGGTACTAGTGAAATTCTTTCCCTGATCGGTCAACAACCGTTCCGGAGCGCCCTTGTCGAGGACGTAGCCCTGAACAAAAGCCTCCGCAACGGCCGCTGCGGACTGGTTGGCGAGGGGCCAAGCCATAGGCCATCGCGTGAAATATTCCACGCCAACCAGCAGGTACTTATTACCCCTCGGCGTGGAAGGAAACGGTCCCAAAATATCAAGGGCGACCAGCTCGTTAACCCGGGTGACCGAAATGGACTGGAGCAGTGGACTGGCTCCCTTCGCCGGCGGCTTCCGTTGTGCACACTGGGTACAGGACCGCAGCAGATCGTCCACGTCTCTTGCCATGCCCGGCCAAAAGTAATTAAGCTGGAGCGTGGCAAGTGTTTTGAGGGTACCCAGGTGCAGGAGCCGTTCATGAGCAGCCCATACAGCCCTACCCCTCAACGTGGAAGGCACCACCAGCCTGTGACGGCGGATCGTCCCGTCCCAATGCATGAGTACGCCTTGGCACCACCCCCATGAGTCAACGCCCGACTTTCCTGGACCCGATCCTTCCGCGCGACATCGTAGTGCCAGGAGGGTCGCATCCTCCATTTGGAGGCGGCCCCACTCAGCACTCGACAAGCCAAGTAGGGAATCACTCCCACCCCCCGAAAGAGGACCAGCGTCCGAAGGAGTATCAACTGCGGCCGCAAGAACCCGATCCTGACCGTCACTTGCCGATTTGCAACGGCCCGAACCCAAGAAACAAGTGCAATCCGGGGCGATCGGCAGGCGTGATAGGGCATCGGCATTGGTGTGGCGAATCCCCTTCCGGTAAGTTGTTTCAAAATCGAAATCCTGCATGATCTCGAGCCATCGGGACAACTGCCCCGATGGCTGGTTAATTCGTAGGGCATACTGCAACGCCGCATGATCTGTACGGACGGTGAAATGCCGGCCATACAGATATGGCCGGTACTGTTGGATAAAGAACACGATAGCCAACAGTTCGCGGCGGGTGACGCAGTACCGCTGCTCGGCCGGGGACAGTACTCTACTACCATAAGCCACAACGCGCTCCACGCCACCCACAATTTGTGACAGCACGCCTCCAATCCCGGTATTGCTCGCGTCCGTGTCGAGCACGAACGGCATGGAAAAATCGGGGTAGCTTAACGGCGGGGCCCCCACCAGGGCATCCCGAAGAGAGACAAAAGCGGCGTTCTCCACCGCTACCCAATGAAATTTGACCCCTTTTGACGTCAAGGCATGTAGTGGCTTAGCGATGGAAGCAAAGTCCGCAACAAACCGACGGTAATATGAAGCAAAGCCGATGAAGCTTCTAACCTCCCCCACCGAGGTTGGGGTAGGCCAGGAGCTGACACAACGCGTTTTGGCGGGATCGGTTGAGATACCTGACCGGCCGACGATGTGACCCAAATATTTAACAGATTCGCGCAGCAAATGGCACTTTTGTGGCTTGAATTTCAAATTTGCAGCGCGCATCTTGAGAAAGACGGCCCGAAGCCTATCAAGGTGTTCCTCGAACGTCTTACTGAATACGATAACGTCATCCAGGTAAATCAAACACACCTCCCATTGCAAGCCAGCGAGGACCAATTCCATCAGGCGCTGGAACGTCGCGGGAGCAGAGTGTAATCCCATGGGTAAGCGATTGAATTGGAAGAGGCCGTGCGGCGTTCGGAAAGCAGTTTTGGGTCTAGATTCGTCGTCCAAGGGAAGTTGCCAAAATCCTGAGAGCAAATCCAAAGTGGAAAAGAATCGCGATCCCGCGAGGGCATCCAGCGATTCGTCCATTCGAGGAAGCGGATAAGCATCGGCCACCGAGATCTTATTTAATCGCCGGAAATCAACGCAGAACCTTAGGGACCCGTCGTGCTTTTTAACAACACTATGGGTGCACCCCAAGGGCTGGTTGAGGGAGAAATGATGTCCGATTTCAACATGTCATCTACAGCCGATTTGACATGATCCTTTTCGGCGGGACTTAACCGAAAAGGATTCTGGCGGATAGGAGCGTTGTCACCGGTGTCAATATGGTGGCGTAGCAATTCGGTACATCCGATATCGTATTTATGTTTACTGAAGACGTCGGAAAATTCTCGCAATAAGGCGCGTAATTTAGCACGTTGTGCGTCGGACAGGTCAGGTGACTCAGCACACAACGCATCCAGCCAACCCTCGTCAGCGTCTGAGGCTAATCGCGTTTGAGAATCGGTGGCCACCTGGCCAACGATCGGCGTTTCCGCAGGTACCGGAACCGCATGTGCGAACACGGTACCTTGCGAAACCACTGCCGTCCGTGTCCCGACATTGAGGACCGCGATAAACGGGTCCCCATCCCCTTTAACAATAGTCTGGGCCGTTACCAGATCTGGCCCACACACCCCGGCTCTAGATGGTCCCAAAATAACGCCTCGGTCAGAAACCCCTTTATCGAACGGACGACGCAAGCGCAGGGGTACCAACATCTGTGCCCCCGGGGGTACACGCACCGTCTGAGCAACAAGCGCCTGTACCGTAGCACAGGCAACACGCACGGCAGGGGTGGCAGGTAGGAACGTCATACGTCGGCCTGATGGAAGCTCGATGCATTGCTGGTCAATCAGAATTTTGATGGGCAATTTGGCCAAAAAGTCTGTCCCCAACAGGCACGGAATAGCCAGCGAGGAAGAGACGAACACCGGCCCAGATAGTTTAATGTCCCCTATCGAAATTTGCGCTCGAATTTGACCGATAATACCCAACGAGCCCCCATTTGCAGCGTAAAACGGTATATCGACAGGGAGCAACGGGCGACTCTGAACGGGCAGGATATTATAAATCAAATCCGAAATGATAGTTGCCGAAGCTCCCGTATCGACCAATAACCGTACCTCCACCCCGTCAATATGTCCCGCGACAACGGACGACCCCGCCGATGCAGCCACAACTCGGTGAGCCAACTCGGACCATTGGCCCGGTTGGAGCGCCCTCCCCGACATGCCGCGACCCGACGCACCAGCACCCAACCCCCGAGAATTGTGTGTCGGACCATGTGATAGGAAAGTGGGTGTGTGTGCAGGCCGAACATGTGGGGTGCCATGACTTGCCCGAGGATGTTGCAAAGGCTTGTGAGGAGGGCCGTCCGCAGCTCCAGGTCTCGCACCGCGCTGTCGAGGAGCCCGGCATCCGGACGCCACGTGGCCCCGGAGGCCACAATTATAGCAGACGACGAGCGTTCCAGAGGACTTGGGCTGGTCTCGGTGGCTTGGGACGTCCCGAGCTGGACGCTCGGCAGATCGCCATCCTGCAGAACGATCCGCAGCGAAGGCTCCCTCCATTCCGGAAGAGGTCGCCGCCACGGTGTGTCGTGCAGCTGCTTTGTTCGCCTTCCTCCGCTGGGAGATGAGATTGGCGTGAATGTGCCTTGCAGCCCGCAGTGATGACATATCCGCATCGTCCTGCGCTAAGATGGTGAAGTCCAGATCGTCAGCCAGCAGCAAAATTTTCTCGGCCACCATCGCATCGATCCCCTCTTCATCCATACGCGGGAAAGCGTCTTTCGCCAATGACAGCAGGGCCGTGCGATAAGCGAGTGGCGATTCCTTGTCACCCTTCTGCCGCTCATAGAAGAGCTGGCGACAGTCAGAGGGCGGCCCATAAACGGTGGCCAGCAGCTGCAGCGCCGACTGAATGGTGGAGCGTGCCGACTTGGGTGCAGCAGTGAGGGTGCCCAGGGCGTCGCCGTCCAATAACGCCGGGAGAGCACACAGCGCCTCGTTGTCCGACCAGCCTGCCATCTCTTGGTGGGCCAAGAACCGGCGCTGGAACCCCCCCCAATCGCCGTCGCTTGCAACAAATACCTGCAGGGCCGGCAGACGTTGCTGGAATGTCGGCTCCGTCTCCGATCCTCTTGCAGCATCCATAGCGCGTCCCCGTACAGTATGAGTAATGGCAAACTCTAATGGGTGTCGCGCCGTCAGTGACGTGTTGGTCGGGGCTCGGTCGGTGCTGGCGTCCGCTGGTGGTGACGTCGCAACCCCTGATAGGCCGCCACCGCGACCCGCCTCCGCCGATGACGTGGCGGCTGCTGGCTGGGCACCGTCCCCCGCGTGACGAGCTGGGACTCCTCCCTCCGCCCCTACTGTCTGTGAGGCGGGAATTTCGAGTCGCCCCGCTGTTGTAAAGGCGGGAGTTTCTGGCGGGCGTTGTCCATCTTCCCACCGCGTCGCTCCTCCCGGCCCCAGGCGAGTTATTTGTTCGAGCATAGCGGCCGCTGCATACAAGAGCTCCGCCAGCCGCGAGTGAGCCAACGCCAACTCGTCAGTCGACGTCCCGGCCCTCTCCGACGACCCCGCCAATGTCGGAGCCGGCAGCAGTTGTGCAGGTACGTCGGAGGCGATGTCTTGCACTGCCCCTCCCTCGTCGTCATCCTCTCCTGGGTCTTGGGCACGAGTCTTCCGTCTCGTATCCATGCTTGGACCACTTCTAACACCAGATGTAGTAAGTATCGGAGGAGACGATGTCGAAGTTGAGACACACTGTTTATTAACTCCGGGACAGATACAATAGTTGAAGGGGTATCGGCCCCTTCACCCGTACTATGGGAAACCCACCCTAGTACTAAGCCCTCTGTCCTGTCCCCCAGTCCTCCTCTACTGGGCTACGGGGGGCTGACTGATCTGGCCCTGGCAAGCACAGATCTCGGCACCAGCTAACCAGCCTTGCCCTGACAAGGGCAGCGGTCTGGAAGCTCCTGGGCCGCGCCACTGGCTTACCCGGCTCGGCCCTTATAAGGACGGCGAGACCGGGGAGTCCCAGGGCCTAATCTCCGAGTCTTGGATCTTCACTGGTCAGCTTCGTGTCGAACTGAACTCGAGCTCTTTGGGTTCCACCTTTTATAGGGATCGCCTCCGAGGGCTGGGGCGTGGGCAATAACTGATGCGGACGTCGGTGTGACCACCCGTGTATGTGAGTGCCGACAACCCTGTGTTTGTTGTCCGCCGTTTCTCCCGTAATAACCCCTACACAATAAACCGATGTGAAAAAAATAAATATAAAATACATCAATATAATCAATGTGCTCAATATACTCTCCAATAAGCTGAGCTATTAACATTAAGTAACTGGGTATACACTACACTATATAATAACTACCATATAGTGAACCGATATTGCTGTTGGCGGACGATTTAGTTGCAGTTCTTTAGCGTCAATATGCTAAATTCTTCTTGATATGTAAACTGCTTTGTCAAGGCACTCTGCTCCTCCCACTAAGCTGCCAAGCTTAGTGGTGTTCATTACGATGCTGTTTTTCAGACAGCTTTGTACTTCACCTGATGACAACTGCTTGTGTTGTGGCCGAAACATCGTGATAATTTTATTTTATCATGTTTTATTTTTATTATTTCCCTTCTACGTGACTTTATCAAAAGAACCAAGAAAATGAATCCCTGCAGTCACGAATACTTTAAATCGAAATCTAATTGGTTGTATCGGGTGGTGGCAGGTTTAATGACACCTTTACATTTAAGCGATCTAACCCAAAAAAAACTTCTATTATGGGTGAACACTTGTTGATGCAGACAATCTTCCGATTGGTTTAAACTTTCCGAGACTGATCAGAAAACAAATGCCTGTGGCTTACGTGATGTTAAAAGCTCTTCTCTTTTCAGCATTACTCTTGGTTGGTCGACATTTGGATACATGAATTAGCTAAATCTAGAGGTAAGTAGCTTAAATCTGTATGTGGTTTGATGTTGTAGTGCCAACGTCTGTATAAATTACCAAACGATTATTAACTCGAGGGATTTGTGTGTTAATAGTTTCGTAGATAGAAATATTATAATAAAAATCAAGTTAATAAAAATAAAAATAATAAAAATAAAATTATAATTTTTCTATCTACATGACTTTACCGACATAACCAAAGAATATGAATTCCTGCAGTCACGAAAGTTAAAAGTCAAAATGTTAATCGTTTATCTATTATTTGGAAATTCAGTGGTAAGTTATATTTTCGTTATATTTTCACTAGAACATACAAATTCAGGTTGGTGGACTTGTTTCAATACAATCTATGGCCCATAGATTGTATTGACAATGCAAGTTGCGTTATGTTCTTTGTGATACCTTGCATGTGCCGCCTTTCTAAATGTACGGGCAGTTGTCGACGTAAAACGCAAACTTAATCACGGAACAATGTTTTCTCAGTAGAGCGATCCTTCGCGAAATGTAATCTGTCAGCCTCGTGCTGGCAGTGAGTTTTTGTGCAGGTGTGCGCCCGTGCTCGTATGTGCGTGCGTGTACAAGTTAGTGTGGGGGGAGTGGTAGTGCAATGGTAAGCGCACTGCGTTACCAACCCGGTGACACGAGTTCGATTCCTGCTCACGACCAACACCAGTGACGATTATCTGAATGGGTCCTGGGCCTCCCCAAGGTCGACTCAGCCTCAAAGGGGTACCTGGTTTCGTGCGTAAACATCGCCACTGCGGAGGCAACAGTGGTCAATGGTGGCTAGGTGGGGTGATGCCTACTCACTCTACCTGCAGGAACGTGAGCGAGTCCCTCTCCTCCTGCAGAGTGCGCAGGCGCGTGGCTGCTGCCCGGAGCTCGCTGATTTCGTATTCGTAATGAGCGATGTTCTCCTCGATCTGGGACAGCAGCTCGCGCCACTTCATGTCCACGCGATCCAGAGTTGCCCTCTCATCCTCAATCAGCATCTCCCTCATGTGGGTGAACTCGCCTGAGATGCGAGCCTTGGTCTGGACCATGCAATCCTGCAAGGGTGTACGATGGATGCTATCATTTCATATTCAATGCTATAAATACCAAAGTCACATTTTTTCTGGCTACTCCAAACCTAGTTTGCCTTGCCTCCACATTATGTCTCACATCTCAGTGAACAGGTTGATAACTGTTTAAGAATCTAGGACGTTCACGTCTATAATATGGTTAGTAAGATAAAAAGCTAAATTGTATTCCTCTGCGGAAATAAACACATCATAAAGTGAAACATGAAATTGTAAATCGAAACAATTTTCCATACGGTCCCATTATATTACCTAAAATGCATTCCTAAAACAAATGTACCCACCCAAAACATACTAAAAATATATATTCAATACAACTGAGATATTTTATGCACAAATATGGAGAAAATTAACGACTAATAACTTACTAAAATGATTTGTTATTAAAACTAACTCACGGTATTGGAATGTCCATTCCTCTAAGCATAGGCTGGGCTCTCTCCCCTCCCTCCATCCTTTCAAATCACTCCTAGCTCTGATATTTGATGGAGACCAATTATCTGCTTTTTTGGTTGTATTACTAATATTCTCCACAACATGGAGATGTGTGAATTGATGCCCTTTTTTACAGCAGGATTTGGTGGGGTTTGTGTGTTCCAGTGACCCTTAGAGCTATGTCGCCTAGAGTCTTGTACTCCTGGTAGGATCTGCCTTTGTTAACAGGTATGGGCAGAGGTTACAGACAAATAATGGTCCAAAAAGTCATCCCTTCATGAATGGTTAAAACATACTAAAATCAGATAACCTGACCCAGACAAGGTATACCAGGACAACCCCATGGAGCCAGGCCTGAGGGTGGTGTTTGACGAGAAGCGCCTGGTGGCCAAGTAACCACATAACCCTGTTGAGCCCTGCCCAAAATGGCTACGTGGCGCCATCCTCTGTGCCCACCATCTGCAGGACGAAGGGTGAGGGGCGGGTGCGATGCTAGTATTGCAGAGAGTGGGATGGCCTCAGACGGACTGAACCTTGGAAATGGGTACTAGCTATTAGGAAATGGAATCTCACTTCACTGGGGGGAGGAAGGAGTCGGCACTGGTAGAGGTGGAACGGTAACAACTAAATATAATGGGTCTCACCTCCACACACAGCATTGGCAATGGACGCCAACTTCTCGATCGGGGGTGGTCTCTCCTATTCTGGAGAAACCCCTGGTGAGTGGCCCCGGGCGAGTGTGGGGATATTCACAATCCCGGCTGGGTGCTGTTCAGTTTGAGTTTGTCACAGTGGATGAGAGGGTCGCCTCAATGAGACGTCGGGTCTCAGAAAGGACAACTCTGACTGTTGTCTGTGCTTATGTACCAACAGCAGTTCAGAGTATTCGGCCTTCTTGGAGATGGTGGGTGCAGTGTTCGATCGTGCTGCCTACCGACTCCATAATCTTACTGGGCGAAGTCAATGCTCACTTGGGAAAATATAGAGAAACCTGGAGAGGCATGATTAGGGGAAATGTCCCCCCTGATCTCAAACCGAACGGGGAGATTTAACTGGAATTCTGCGATAGTAACTGAATGTCAATAACTAACACCATGTTCGAACACGAGGATGCTGATATGTGTACTTGGTACCAGGGCACCTTGGGCCGAAAGACAATGATTGACTTTATAGTTGTATTATCAGACCTAAGGACATATGTTGTGGACACTCGGGTGAAGAAATGGGCAGAGCTGTCAACTAATCACCGCCTGGTGGTAAGTTACATCTGATGTTTTGGGCACCGACCAGATAGATGTGGAATGCCCAAACGAATAGTGCAGCTTTTCTGGAAACGTCTGGCGGAAGACCCAGTGCAGAAAGATTTCAACTTCCACTTCTGGGAAAACTTCTTCTGCACTCCAGAGAAGGTCATGGACATTGAGTCCGAGTGGACAATGTTCAGGACCTCTATTGTGGATGCGACTGCAAAGCTGTTGTCCGAAGGCAGTTAGTGCCTGTGAAAGTGGCAAACCTAGGTCCTGCTGGTGGACACCAGTGCTGAGGTATGCTGACAAGTTGAATAAGGAGACTTTTTCCTAGCTATGCTTGAAAAAAGGTCTCCCAACTCGATTGAGTGGTACCAGTTTGCCAAGAGCGTGGCAGCGGTAGCAATTGCTGAAGCGAAAGCCTGAGCAAGGGAGGCACTTGGAGAGGCCATGGAGAGAGACGACCGAGCAGCCTCAAAGATCTTCTGTCAAACCATCCCACGCATTAGGAAGGGTATATGGGATGTGGCCCCATCTGTTCTCAGTAACATTGAACACAACGAAGGAGATAGTCGAGAGGTGGAAGGAACACAAAATGAGGTTTCTCCGCAGGGTTGCCGGGCTCACTCTCCGTGATCGGGTGAGGAGCTCGGTAATCTGGGAAAGCCTCCGGATTGAGAGGAGCCAGTTGAGGTGGTTTGGGCACCTGGTAAGAATGCCCCTCGGTAGACTCCCCCTGGAATTCTCCTGGGAATGTTCCACTGAGCGATGACCGCGGGGCCGACCCAGGACACGCTGGCGGGACTATGTCACTCGGCTGGCCTGGGAACACCTGGGAATTCCCCAGGAAGTGCTCGAGTCTGTCACCAGGGAAAGGGATGTCAAGATCGTCCTACTCAACATTCTGCTGCCGCGACCCTCACCAGGACAAGTGGATTGAGAAACGAATGAATGAACAAACTCATGCATGCGACAACGCAAACAAGCTCAGAGCAATATCGTTGAAGACATATCAAAAGTAGATTAAATTACGTAATTATCTGAATCATTAAAATGTACTACATCAAAAGAGCTAATCACTAATACATCATGATTCGTGCCTATTCAATGTAAAACTTTTAAATAAAAATTGGCTCTACGTTTTGCTGCTTTAGAGGTAGGTGAGTGTCATGAGAGCAAAAGTGTTTTCTGGCATTCCTTGCATTCTCTTTATAGCCGCATCTCTTATGTTTAATCTAGCATTCAACAGCCGATTTCCTGTCGTATTATATCGCCATCTTCACTAATGTCTAGTTTATAATTCAATACAATCGTTGCTCCATAATGCTTTATTTTATCTGATCCATTGCAAGCCATTCGAGTTATCTTGCGACGTGCTTTGAAGTCTCACGAGAGATACATTTTCGTGTAAAACGTTGCATTAAAAAAGATTACGTTTCAATCACCCATAACTATAATAATTCAATGTCCTGCACAGTTATTACACACGGACTCAAGCTTAACAGAGTTCACTTGAATCTACGGAGTTATCCTCAAGGGGAGAGTCACAGACTCCACTCGGGGTGGAGGTCACAGGGCCACAGAGGCCACGCGCAGTACCTGCACGTCCTTGTAAATGGCCTTCTTCTGTCCCACGGACGCCTCCGCCTTTTCCCTGTCCTTCTCCACTGCTCGCATCTCCTCACCGACTCTACCCTACAAGAAACGAAGTCATCAGAGGAGACTCCACTCCATCCGGAGCCCTCCACGGTGACAGTTCTGAATTGCCCACCAGAAGCGTGGTGTGGAAGTCATCCTGGACTGACTGAAAAAGTCTAATACGCAAGGGACCTGTGGACAGAGAATCAACCCACGGTGATGTTTGTTGTATGAGATGTTTCTATTATACCTAGGGGGCAGTTTTTTTATCAGCTCTTGTAGAAGTATCATAATCAGTATATGTAGTTATACTGGAGGAATCCGATGAGCTATAAAGCTCTTTTTCACAAATGTCCAGTAGGGGTGGGCAAGAACGTTAAAAAACACACTATACAAAAACCAGATAGTAGTGCAAAGTACTAGAAAGGTAAACAATCACCCAAACAGGACCCTGCGGGGTGGGCTGGTAGGAATAATACTTAGTACCGGTACAAGGATATCGACCGGGTATAGAGGAGTTAAAGACAAAATTACTGTATTCTAGTGTAACGTTAATTAAAAGTGTTTGTTTTGACAAGAAACGCTGTGAGATTTAAAAACCCCTCACCACCAGCCCTCACCACCAGCCCTCACCACCAGCCCTCACCACCAGCCCGCACCACCAGCCCTCACCACCAGCCCACACCACCACCCCCCACCACCAGCCCCCACCACCAGCCCTCACCACCACCCCCCACCACCAGCCCCCACCACCACCCCTCACCACCACCCCTCACCACCACCCCCCACCACCAGCCCCCACCACCACCCCTCACCACCACCCCTCACCACCACCCCCCACCACCACCCCCCACCACCACCCCCCACCACCACCCCCCACCACCAGCCCTCACCACCACCCCCCACCACCAGCCCCCACCACCACCCCCCACCACCACCCCCCACCACCAGCCCCCACCACCAGCCCCCACCACCACCTTCTGCACTAGGCCTCGCGAAGCCAGCCGCACTAGGCCTTGCGAAGCCTGCCGCACTAGGCCTCGCGCCGTGCTTTTCGTGCACAAATAAGGTGATTAAATGTATCTCGTCTCTGTGTTAATAAATGTTTCTTGTCTCTGTGTTAAAAAAACGTGCTGCGTTTCAGGAAAGTATTTTTTTTTAAATAAACGTGCTGCGTTTCATTTCTGTGTTAAAAAGCCTGCCGCACTAGGCCTCGCGAAGCCTGCCGCACTAGGCCTCGCGCCGTGCTTTTCATGCACAAATAAGGCGATTAAATGTATCTCGTCTCTGTGTTAATAAATGTTTCTTGTCTCTGTGTTAAAAAAACGTGCTGCGTTTCAGTAATTTTTTTTTAATAAACGTGCTGCGTTTCATCTCTGTGTCAATAAGCCTGCGGCACTAGGCCTCGCGAAGCCTGCCGCACTAGGCCTCGCGCCGTGCTTTTCGTGCACAAATAAGGCGATTAAATGTATCTCGTCTCTGTGTTAATAAATGTTTCTTGTCTCTGTGTTAAAAAACGTGCTGCGTTTCAGTAAAGTAATTTTTTTTAAAAACGTGCTGCGTTTCAGTAAAGTAATTCTGAAGCGAAGTTTAAAGTTTTGCCGTGATGCACCGGAAGCGACGGCCATCTTGTTTAATTCACATCGCAGGGGGAGCGGGCGGCCATCTTGTTTAATTCACATTGCAGGGGGAGCGGGCGGCCATCTTGTCGGACAGGGTCATGCCAAGTGTTTGCAGTAGGGGGCGATGTTGATACACGGACGGACGGACGGACACATTAATCTATTGGTGGTCTGGTCCACTTCGTTCCTACCAGTATAACAAACACATGCAACTTAGCCATCCCCATCCTACCAGGCAAAGCCCACCGAGGTATCAATTATTCTTTTTTAGAAGCGACCTGGCCACAAATGATAACTCATCAAAGTGGTTTATCATGGGGAAATGTTGAGCTGTCAAATAATCTCAATGCATGTTTTTTTCTGCACCTCATTGGTTCTCGCTGTTGGCATGCGGGCCTTACCTTCCGTGTCTTATGCTCGTTCTCCAGCGTGTCAACATCATGCCCTCGATGTTTTCCAGTGAAAGCGCAGACTGTGCACACGAGGCTCACGTCTTGCTTGCAGTAGAATATGAGCTCCTGTTTGTGCCTCTTGCACTTGCGTTCTTCAGGGTTCACATCTGGTGAAACCAGGACGTGGTCCTTCAACTTCGCTCTCTCCAGGTGAGGCGCGAGGTGCTTCCTGCAGAAGGACATCTCACACTTGAGGCAGGTCTTCACTGCAGACGTCTTGCCTTTTGGGCAGTTGTCACAGAAAACAATACCGCCAGCAGCAGCAGCAACCATGGTCTCAGTCACTCGCAGCTGTTCTATGAGGTTGGCGATCGTCACGTTCCTGGTCAGCTGGGGTCGTCGAGGGAAGGTCTTGCGGCACTGCGGGCAGCAGTAGGAGTCTGTCTCCTTCCAGGCGTCCTCCAAGCAATGGAGGCAGAACGAGTGGCCGCAGCTCAGCGTGGAGGGGCAGTCAAACGTGTCCAGGCAGATTGAGCAGGTCAACTCACGGTCCAAGTTCTCAGCGGGAGCTGCGCTCGCCATGACTCGAGGATGCACCCACAATAGTTCCTCACTGTGGCTGAGAGAATATATTTCAACAAAAATACTTTATGTTTATAATATCGTGAGATGTTGATTACCATTGACGAGGTGTGTTCTATTCAGTAGATTCTAGATTTGAAGCTTTCGTGACTGCAAAGATTCATATTCTTAGGTTTTTTCGGTTAAGTCACGTAAGTAAAACATCAAAATAAAAATAAAATAAAAATAAAAATCCCGACGTTTCGGAGGCAACACAAGTCTCCGTCATCAGGTGGGACCGTCACAGCCGAATTAGCTGCATCAAGTGAAGCAATGATTCAAGATGTAATCCCTTATAAGCAAGTTGAAGGGAGGTGGAGAGGGGGGGGGGGTTGGAGAGCTTATCAGACTGTGGTAGCCAATGAATGGAAACGTATCGGGAGGGAGAAGGAGCGGTGATCAAAGACTGCACACAGTGCTCAACACAATGAATGGAAACGTATCGGGAGGGAGGAGGAGCGGCGATCAAAGACTGCACGCAGTGCTCAACACAATGAATGGAAACGTGTCGGGACGGAGGGTGAGCGGCGATCAAAGACTGCACGCAGCGCTCAACACAATGAATGGAGACGTGTCGGGACGGAGGGTGAGCGGTGATCAAAGACATCACGCAGTGCTCAACACAATGAATGGAAACGTGTCGGGACGGAGGGTGAGCGGTGATCAAAGACTGCACGTGTGAGCAGCTCACACCGTGGAGACGAACAAGGAAATGAACTGACGTTACCTGCATTTAAGTTATAAATACCTCGAGACACGCCCTGAAATGTTCCACACGGCGGCTGGGCTCACTTGTGTAGACATGGGGTTAGCTAAAACCAATTTTTGTGTTTAGTTTGTTGTCCTTCCCCTGCACTTCCGATTAGCACTGTTGGCTACGTACGGTGTGGAAGAAGTCCAACAAACATACATAGCTTTGACTGGTCTCAAGTGACGTAATATTTGTACAAACAAAACCCAGCAGTAGCAGCAACCCGGGACACAGCGATAATGGTTTGTCCCACAGGCTGATTGATGGGCAAGGGTCAGGTTGTGTGCATTGCCACAGTGGAACCGCACCTTGTGCAAACATTCTGATGTAAAGGTGAACTTTTTTTTATCTTTGTCTTTATCCATTTTTTTCTTGCAAGGCCTGTTTGTCTAAGCTTCACAGTCTGTAATGGTCTTAACCCTTTATCAACTAATATTTTAACTATTGTCTTCATGCACCCTTTGTTCATCTGTCAATCATTTTTTAGGTTTTTTATTCCTATGACACCGTTTTATTCTGAATGGACGGTGGTTGTATCTTGAACTTCTTTTTCACCATACGTAGTCAACTGCGCTAATCGAAGGTGTGTGGGGTGAGTGTGTAGGTGGGTAATTGGTTTAGTGTGTGGGTAAGCAATTGGGTGAGTGGTTGGGTGAGTGGGTGTGTGGGTGAGTGGTTGAGTATGTATGTTGAACTTATTTCGCAGCGTACATAGCCATTCATGCTAATCGAAGGTGCGAGTGAGTGGGTGGTGGAGGTTGAGTGAGTGAGTGGGTTATTTGGTGATAGGGGAGACAGATGGGCAAGAGGATGGCGTGAAGGGTGGACGATCAGGCAGTGATGTAGGGAGGGAGGGTGGCTGGGACGGCGTGCGGTTGAGTGAGTGGGTCCCTGGGTGGGTTGCCTTGCATTACAATAGCGAACAGCCTCTGGCTAAACAAACATCGTGGTTCTTTTAAGCTTATTAGCTATAGGACTTTCACTGTACATTTTCCTATTATGCGTAAATCTTCATAACCTAAACAATTTATATGCATCACCTATTGTTAATGTGAATATTTTACATCCTGGACTCGCTGAGTTTGGCCGATTCTATCAAAAATATTTAATTTTATTCTACCAGTCAAGGCCCAACTAGAGCTAAGTGGCACTTTTTCAGAAGCGACCTGGCCACAAATGGCAACTCAACGAAGTAGCTCATCACGTGGAAACGTCCAGCAGCCAATCACTCTGAACGCGTGTTTTTAAATGTGGAGGGAAAAACCGGAAGACGCGGAGAAAAATCCATGGGAGGAGAGACACTGACGACTCCAAATATATAGCAGCAGCAGCAGGCGTCAGGATCGGGGTCGAACCCATGACCTCCTGCAGACGAGGCGAGGTAGTTAACATCTCCTAGCCACTGTGGTACCCTCATCGTCACCCCTCCCTCCGTTCTTATTTCTGCATCCACGTTAAGTGTCGATACGTCTTTTCGTGCCTATAAGATTGTAGTCGATCATGATTTTTTATTTTGTTAAAGTTTATATTTTATATCGCCGGTCAACTGCAATTGTCCAATTTCCGTGCAATATCCACTTCGTGCTATAGCTGCCCCACAGTGATAATACGCGAATGTGTGAACACCCACTTGCTTAGCTACTCAGCGGTGTGAGTTACATTCTCTCATTTAGATGCAAGCACAGATGCATTGATAACTCATCCATCTGTAGTGCTTGAGAAACACGCGTCACGCGCTGGGTCGGCATGCGTGCACGTGGCGGACAGTGAGGGCAAACGAGGACACAGGGCGCTGATTGGCTAACTGTTGTTGTTGTACAAATTAAGGTGGTGTGATAGTTAAGGGGGCTGCAGGTGGCCGGGGGTAATTGAGGATGCAGGGCGCTGATTGGACGAGAGGGGTTGTTGTCTGAGATTGGCACCGGCATGTCTGGAATAACAATGCCACGTGGCACCGGGGGCTGGGGACGAGTGGCGTCGCGGGGGATGACCTAATTAATTAAGGGTAATTGGTTCGGGGATAAAGGGTGAAATGGTGGAGTGAAACGAGAGTTGTTGCCTGGGACAAGAGACGAACGGATGGAGAGACGGAGCAGCGGATAGAGTGAGTATAACACGTAGGCGTAACCCTCCACCATCGGGTGGTGGAGGGTTACGACACATTTATAAACCTCCATCATCGGGTGGTGGAGGGTTACGACACATTTATAAATAACGCGATCTAAACCCAAAAACGTTGATTATGAAAAGTATAGCATAGGGTAGCAGTATATAGAGTGAGTACAGCGTAGGGTAGCAGCAGCGTAACGGAAGCATTAGTGGAGAGAGACGACGGAGAGTTACGACGGAGTAAACAAAAGAGCAGCCGAGCTGGAGAGAGAGAGCGGAGAGGAGAGTCGCTGGAGGAGCAGAGGAGAGCGAGCGAGGCCAGCGGAGTGCAGCGAGCGAGCGGAGGGACATTGAGTGATGTTGACGGAGAGTTGTGGGTTGGAGTGTATGGAGGAACATTGAGCGGTGTTGACAGAAGGAATGTGGAACTATATGATTGAATAAAGAACCGAGGAAAGACAAGAAGCTGTCGTGTCGGTACGAGTGCTACACATCTATTGTAATACAAATTCATAGTTCGTGTGTACGTGTCACGCTAACGCTCGCTATTTCCTGCCTGCTGATTGGCCAAAACAACATTTACAATCAGGGATGTTTACACGAAAACAAGTGTTCTATATTTAAAAGTTTAAATACAATAACATGTTTAAAATATACTTAAAAGTTTAATGGCAATTGAATAAAATAATTTGTCCACGATGACCCACGGAGAGAGAAATCATTGACAACCAAAGGGGTAATTCTATACCATTATTTCACAATTTTATGAATGAAACGTTACCATATTCCATCGATTCAAATTGTAATTTTCTAATGGTTGTACAATAACAGTTGCAGTGATTTTGTAATGCTGTGACTTGCTTTCTTTTATGTTTTAAAGTAAAAGTTAATGCGAAATTGTTGATATTCCCCCCCCCCCCACCCGCTGAGTGAGTGGTACATTCCGAACAGCCCAACAGCTACGGTGAGCAATGTGGATCAAAGCAGATGCCGTTAACGCGATTTGTTATTATCACAGATGTTAATTTGGCATATTTGGACTGACGCACATCATAATCGGAATATTTATACTGCAGCAGGAATCCGATGACCTGTAAAGCTCTCGGGGTACGAACGTTACAACAACAAACCGTACACAAACATGATAGTAGCGCAAGTACATGGAAAGTTAACACATCCCCATGACACATCTACAGTAGTTTAACACGTAAAGCCTTCGCGACCAATATCCATTATACAGTTTTATTGGGGGTTAACCATCTAACCCAAACAACCTGCATTATGGACATCTACAGTATATATAAAAGTTAGTAGTTCCCTGCGTCTTGTTGACATTCGGGTGATTGCCACAAAGTGCTTTGCTTTATCCACCGCTTTCTTTGTTGTCGGAGTGCAGCGACGAATTCGCTTTGGCTCCGTGTCACCATGGACTGCGTCTGTAGCGCGTTGTGGCGAATGCCGTTCGAGTGGTGCAGCTCGTTGACGCACAGCAGCTGCTGTTGTTGTACAACATTAATGGTTGACGCCTCATCGATGTCTCTTTCAATTCACTACGCACGATTTTATCACCGATGTGACTTTACTTTGACGACAGACACTTATTATCGTTCTTGATTTGAAGCTTTCGTGACTGCAGGAATCCATACTTCTTGGTTGTTTCGGAAAAAAATATCTACTTGACTTAACCGAAAGATCCAAGGAGTTTACTTCTCATCATTTTCTCGCAATAACCTCGCCGTTAACTGTTTACAGCTCAGATCTAGCACATGGTGTGGGTATGCAGAGCTGCCAACCCCTTATCAGTGCCCTACTTTATTACGGACAAGAAAGCGAACATTACTTAGCACGAGGTTACAAACCTCACGAGACACTACGTGGAAATTTGCTCAGGTGGTCAAGGTCAGATACGAGCTTCGAATCGCACGCAGCTGTCTAGATGCAACGTGAGACACGTTACACGGTCGGCTATGACCACTTCCAGGGGGGAGCCAGGTCCACTCGCTATGCTCTCAGTGGAGCTGCGCTCGCCACGACTCTCAGTGGCTTCTCACAGCCGCTCGCTGTGGCTGAGAGACGCCGTCCCTGGAGCGCATCTGGTTGC